CCTCATAAATACAAAACTAATAAATGGACACAGAGATTCTTGTCTCATATGATTGATTTGGCTGTCAGTAACAGTTGGCTTCTATTTTAAAAAGATGAGATAAAAAAGGTGTACCAGTGAAAAAAATGCTGAGGGGTTCGAAAATTTTAATTACAACTTGGGGAAGATTTGTTAGAAGAAATCCTTCGAATCACAAACAATCAAGAGCGCTTTGATGATAGTGATCTACAGACTAACCAGAACATTCCACGAAGAAGGGGTAGACCAACTATTACTCTTCCAAATAAGAGCCGCTACACTTCTCCGGCAAACATATGCCTATATTGGAAAAGAAACAGTCCAGGTGCAGATCCTGCCATTACAACAAAACACACTTTAAATGTAGTTCATGTCATATAAACTTGTGCTTAACTAAGCAAAGAAATTGCTTTGCTGATTTCCATTCCTAACTACTTTTTTTAAAAGGATTTGATTTTTTAAAGTTTAATAAAATTAAGAGAAGGTTTTAGTTAATTTTTATTTTTTGTTTGAATTGTTTAATTATTTTTAAGTCCAGAGAGGCTGCAATAAAAGTTAGTACATTAATTACAAAATAAAGAGATGAAAATTCAAGACTGATTAAGAATACATAATAAATAACATAAAAAGTTACTCTTGTTTTATTTACCCCATTGTACCCAGTGTCTTTTATGAAGGACAAATAAAATACAGATGATTTTGGTAATTCTGCCCAGTGTACTGTAAAAAGAACAAAATGTATGATTTTAAAAACAGCATGAATCGTCATTATGTTCTATTTACTGCCATAAAAAATATAAAAAATTTACATCTTATGCAAGACCTTTTTTTTTGTTCTAATTATTCTGGGCAGGAAGCACTTGTAAGATTTTGTACTTTGGAGAGAACAGTGGGCAGAATTACCAAACATGTTCTAATTTGCTTGGGCAGGACGAGGCTATCGTGAACCATGCCTGATACAAGTGTACTGGTAGAGCCACGCTGCAGCTATATTATGGTTGTATCACGAATGAGTCGGCTCGACCGGGGAAGGAACACGCTCTCACAGAATACCAGCGTAAAATAGCGGGTTAATACTGCTGTATTTCGTATGGTGAGTGTAGAGAAACGGAGACCCGTTTTACTGGAATCGAGGCTTTCCATCTTAGTCCTCAGGGGTGACAACGTATCTGCATTTTGATTCTTAATCGAACTTAAATGTAAATATCTATGGGCCACAGCGTCCACTTACCATCTGGTGGACTGTGTGCTCGTTTATCACCCTGACCCTGCAAATTTAGGTATTTTACGCTCCGAGCGGGCGACCTACGCGAGCGACTGTACTGTGAGTATAGCAACTAAACGATCTTCAGTCTTTCTGTTCAGTGGATGGAAAATTTTTGGTGTGTCATTTTTATGTTATCAATTAATTATAATCCATTTGATACATTTTTCATTACATATGAACCTTAGTGTCGAAATAAGTACATATAAATATTTTAAATGTTTCACAGTAATCGATTGTTACCCGATGTTGATTAATAATCGATCTTTATCAAATCGAAGAATCGAAAAAGAAGCGCTTTGTGCCAAACCTGATCGACGGCCTTCACTATATCCAAACTAACGTCCAACGCCCCCCCGCCCTTGGATTCTACAGCCTCCACCCATTTATGAGTTAGGTAACCCAGAAGATGATTAGCCGAGCGACCGCGTCGGAAACCGTACCGAGCTGGCTGTTAATAATGAATTCCATTATTTTAGAGAACAAGGAGGTGATGGCGATAGGCCTATAGTTGGACGGATCAGAGCGGTTACCTTTTTTAGTTCGGTAGGCCGTCTTCCATGAATTCGAGACTAAGCCGAAGGAGGAGGAGTACCGGAAAAGACGCGTTAAAACCAGTGCCAACTCAGGAGCCCATGTCTCCAGCACAAAAGGATCGACGCCATCCGAGGGACCAAACCAAGGCTGGGTTTTGCCTCCGATAGGACTACAGATGATGGAATAAAAAGTTCCATTCCCTGTAGCACCACATCAGCGACAGAATCAGCAACAACGCTGGGATCATCCAGTGAGAAGCAAGCCCCCAAGGGCAGGATGCAAAAAAATATCGCATCCCGTCCCAGTCTGATGATAATGACAAAAACGGCAGCAACCTGCGATGAGAGCGCGAGTGGCACCTTACTACAAATCAGGTAATGGTTCGAGGAGCCAAGAGGGGCATCGACGGAGACCTGATATCCGTCCGGATGAGAGGTCAGCTGAAGGTCCAACAGGGAAGGTACATGATCTTCCACATCTGGGATCCGCATAGGCGAGGCAACAAGTTGTGTCAGACTATATGCCAAAGCAGTCATAAACAGATCTACCCGCATGATCGGTTTAACAAGAACCAAGCCATTCAGTGTGGTGGGCGTTAAAATCTCCAAGTATCACAATCTCTGCGGATGGGATCTGTTGAAGCACGGAGTCTGTCGGCATCTGGACGTGGTTGATGAGTCTGTCTGTTTCGGCATTACCGCCATGGGACCTATAGAGCCACCCATAGACGCGGGGATGGTCGTCGCTGTCTACGCACAGCCATAAGATGGACAGATCCGTACCTTCAAGGCTGCCAAGGCGTCGAAAACAGGTGTCCTCTCTGACATACACGCAAACTCCAACCCAAGGCACAAGAGAGCGTTCAAATTTGTACCCTGGGTAGGAGAGATACGAAGCATCAGCCAGAGAGGACACCTGTGTATTGTTTAGAAAGAGCTAGGCCAGCTTCGCCATTTCCAGATAGAAGTGGACGGCGTTAAGGTTTGAATTAAGTCCCCTGATGTTGCAGAAATTCTTGAATAGAGTGGCAGCGGGTGCTTTTGACTTATTGCACTGTTTGCCCTGAGCAGGTTTAGTCTCGAGCGGAGTTTTGCCACCCCCCCCCCCCCCGAATACGCGGGCAGCCTGAGTACCCATGCTCAGGAGTGGAGTAGCTTGGTCGTGGATGCTCAGCAAGGGATTTTCCAGGGTGCTGGTACCCTCCTGGGGTAGTCTTGCAATTAACTCCGCTACCATATAGATGGGGGAGGGGGATTGGGCTGATTCAAAACCTAAAGAATCACACAGACAAAAATTTAAGGAAATTAACATGTTAACTTTGGCCTCTCAATACATTTATGAAAATGTAATCTACGTACACAAAAATAAAGGTAGTGTAACAAAAATAAGTGATATTCACTATATATATAAATACTAGGAACAGACACAAGCTAGTAGTACCAGTTACTCGACTCCACCGAGTCAGAAATTCATTTTTGGGGCGATGTATATGCTTTTACAATAACATCTCAGAAAATATACAAAATTTGACTTACAAAAAATTCAAAACTTTATTATACTAAGTTTGTATAAAAAGGGTTATGATAATATTAAGGAATTTATGGATGATAATAGCCCCTGGAAAGAGTGAACACTACCAAGCTATTTCTAATTTGTTTGGTGTTGTTAATTATAACATACATGATTGTAAGCTGTTATTTTTAAAAAATAATCCCGCCGGGTTTTTTGCTGGTTCTTCCCAGGACAGAGGGTTCTTTTTCAAACCAGTGGCAAATTAAAAAAAGTGACTTTCAATAAGTATTATTTATAACCTATATTGAATAAAAAATTTTCTGTTTCTGTTTCTAATTTGACAGAAATAAAAATACTACTACTACTACTATTTTCATTTATTAGTGGAAATCATTTTCTTTAACAGGGTAAGCAGGTGAGTATTTACATAATATTGAGGTTAATAAACATGTTTTCTTACCTTGTTAAAACAAATCGTATTCTCACCTAACCTCTATGCAACAAACCTCATTATAACGAATCACTTGGTATAATGAATATTTTCTAATTCAACAAATGTCTCATCAACTAACTTTACAAAAGTGTGGAGCTAGCATAACAGGGAACAGTATCAACTTCATAAGGCACATTGGAAGATTAAAGTCGCTTGCTAATTGTTTTTATCACAAATTGAAATCATCTTTAGCAAAAATGGAATTAATGCAAAAAAGATTTTAGGCTGATGATTTTTTAATGATTTTAAAATCTCTCTTCACAATATTGCACTAATCATATTTTGAAATGCTTTTGGGAGGGAAGCATCTCATTTTAACACCATAGGTCGTTGACATGCGGAATTTGATAGGCGAAGTGTTTCAATTTTCAATTTCAATTTTTTGCAAACCTGTGATAAAAGTTAAATGATTCTCCATAAACATTCTTGTAATCTTATTCTATATTAAAAATTTATTTATTTATTTATTTAAAAACTTAAACGTAACACCTTAAGCTAAAGGGGTACATAGGGCGGACTTAATGCCATGTGGCATTCTCTGCCAGTCAACCCTGGGTAAATATATTTGAATAACCATTCAAAGTTCATAACATATGTAACCCTCTTACACCAGCTGAGACCGGCTCTCTTTACTGGGCACAGAATAACATTTTATTGCAGAACCTAGTAGTAAAATATTTAAAAAAAATATTTGATGGGGCTATGCTAAAATCCAATCCTAGTGAGCATCTACATTGCAAAATGAGTAACTATACTAAATTTGAAGTCAATCAGGTGTAGTTTTAGACATCTCATGATGAGTCAATCAGTGGTATTTCACTTAAATAGGTATAATATATTAAATAGATGTACAAAATTTAAGACAAGTCAAAATAAATATAACAATCACTGAGGAAAAAATTACGTAATTTAATATTTTAATTAATGTAAAGTTCGCTTTGCATACATTTAAAAAAATAATAACATACATAACATAAAATGAGAATAAAAATGTGTACCATATGTTGAATACAGTCATAACTTCATATTGCTAACCATGTAATATGTACTTGAAATGCATACTGCAATAATTTAATTTTTCTTAAAATACATTTTAAATTGGCAATTTGCTTCACGCCCACGAATAAAAGCTATTTTTCTTTCACAATATTAAATGGAAAATAAAATATTATTTACTTGGTGTTTCGACAGCTACATGAAATGCTACCAGGTTTCTTGCTTCTCTGCCTTCTTCTTGCACAAGCTGCCTTACTTCTTCCATCGCGAAACAGCAAAACTCACTTGAGATTTAATAAAAAATAAAATCGAACTACGGGCATCACTCTCAAATATAACGAACGTTTTTAAATCAAACCATGTCGTTCTACAAATTTAATACAGTATCAAATGAAAAAATATTTTAGAAATATTTGTATTGCAATCAAAATTTTCACTTTTAGAGGAAAATTAGGGAATTGTTATATATTTTCATAACAATTCGCGTTTTGATTTGACAACTATAATTGACATTTGACACTTTGATTAACTTTTACTTCCAGGAATACATTTTCTAAAGCAAAGGAATCTATGCCCATACAGCCTAATTTGACATATATTTTGTTTACAAAATTCGTGACAATATACCAATGATATTCTTTCTTCGAGTATTTAACCAACTGGAGAGGCCATACTCGTTAATTCCTCAACAAAAAGCTGTCACTTTCGACGGGGCGAAGAAAACAACTTTATACTAATAATAATATATTCTTATATTTAATTCATCCGGATATTATTTAATAAAATTAATAAAAATTTTGCAAGTAATTTGGACACATTTTATAATTCTATTATAACTCCATATCAAAAGCAATGTATATAAGTGTTTAATTTAGTTATTTTTTTCTCTAAGTCATTGAAATTTACAGGATATATAGCTAACACTATGACAAAAAGGTGGACCGTGACCCTATCCGGACAGGCCGCGGTCTGTAGGCGCGTTTCTATAAGCTCATACATTTACTTATAATCTTGTGATCCTCCTCGGCTTCGCATAAGTGATTTTTGGATCTTGACAACATATGAATAGATTATTTATATAAACCTTCCTCTTGAATCATTATGTCTATTGACGAAAACCCAATCAATATCCATTACGTGTGGTGGAGCCACGTGTTTAAGGCTGCCGAAGCCTAGTTCCCCGGTCGAACCTTAAACCTATTACGCGAGATATTAATCAAAGTGGACTGTATCTACAAAATGATTCTACACTTATATATGCGGTACAATGCACTCGCTCTTCCCAAAAAAAAACGAACCATTACTTGCCAAATCGATGAAAGGAATCCTGCTTGATTAGGAAAACACAAAATTGGAGCGGGTTAAAACAACTATATCAAGCAGGAAAATACTATTAGGAAAATGTTGACTCACCGGGATGTTTCTTCTATGCGGTCGAGCACTATAACTGCGACTTCTGGAACACTCCGGAGAGAGGCGGTGCGCGACTATATCTCACACGAGGTGAGGCGGGTTTCCTGGAGCTCGACTGCCTCCAGGCTAAAGCGGTTTCTACTAGTGATGTGTTTCCAACAACGAGCGCGGCGGGAAGAGGCCACGCGTCGGTCGCGCGTGTCTTATATATCCTCGGTTCCGATGATTACGTGATGTTCCAGAATCATCTTCTTTCCCCTCCCACCCCACCACCCCGATGTGTCGATAGGAGGGTACGAATGATATCGTTTTGGAAAGGGATAACCGATTTGGCAGCCTACCGTCAAATAAAATAAATACGAATGGTTTTCCGCGCAACCATCTCCCCCCGCCCTTGAAGGATCTCCTTCAAAAAATAACTAAAACAACTAGAGCTAAGATCAACTAACAAATAACTAACTAACGTTAAGACTACCTAAATTCAACTACAATTTTAATCTAGAAAGCTAATTTAAATTACGGAAGAGGCAGGGGGCACAAACGGACAACAGGACGCAGGTAAGACCCAACCGTGGTCTTAACGCGAGCTATCCTAATTACTTCGTCGGAGCCGGGAAAGACCTCTTCGACAATTCATAACGGCCAATGGAGAGGTGGCGTATTCTCCTTAGTGAGCACAACTACAGTTCCTACAGCTAAAGGCTCAGTCGCTGTGTTCCATTTTTGCCGAGACTGCAAAGTATGCAAGTATTCCATCCTCCATCGTTTCCAAAACGATTGCACTAACCGGTCTAATAATTTGTGGCGTGCGGAAATGCTAAGTCTGTTCTCATCCATATCTGCGGCGGGCAAATACTTTAAAGGCGTTAAATTCAAAAAATGTGCTGGAGTTAGAGCCAGCGGTTCCGAGGGGTCGCTAGACAATGTACGACAAAGTGGGCGGCTATTCATTACGCATTCAATTTGAGCGAGCACCGTACTTAGCTCTTCGAAGGACAAAATTTGATCTCCTATTACTCGGTATAAGTGACTCTTTAGACTCTTAATATTAGTCTCCCAATTGCCTCCAAAATGACTCGCGGCTGGGACGTTCAGAGACCACTCAATGCGGTTCTCGGCTAGAATGTGAGCGAACTCCGAATTATAGTACTTGCTAGCTAAGAGCTCATGTAGTTCCGATAGAATACGTTTTGCACCGACGTAGTTCGTACCGTTATCCGAATATAATTTACTTACAGGCGCTCTACGGGATAGAAATCCTTTAAATGCACCCATAAAGCCTGCTGTGCTTAGATCACCAACGAGTTCTATATGCACCGCTCGAGTAGTTAGACATGTGAAAATGCAGACGTAAGCCTTTGTGGATCTTATACCACGGCCGCGAGTGAGCGTGACCTTAAACGGACCAGCGAAATCCGACCCGGTGTGCGTGAAGGGCTTTACCGATTGTATTACTCTACAAGATCTCAGTTCCGCCATTTCCGGAAATGACGGCTTGGGGCGTGCCCGAAAGCAAGCTATACATCTGTGCACCCGATTGCGTATTAAACTACGTGCAGAAAGAATCCAATAATTCTGACGCAAAATCGACATCAACAAGTCGGGGCCAGCGTGCGAGTTCAATTTATGATGGTAATCGACTAATAAGTTCATGATATGGTCTTTACGCGGTAAAACTATAGGGTGCCGTTGGTCGAAACTCAACTGCGAGTTGGACAAGCGTCCACCTACCCTTACAATCCCATCCTGTAAAAATGGCTTAAGGCGTTGAAAGGCGCGACTACAAGCTCTATTCGATTGTAATCTTGTAATTTCTTTAGAGAAGTGCGCACGTTGAAGTTCACGTAATACTAGCGACTCGGCATAGCGTAAAGCCTAGCAGGCACCAGTTCCAGTATAACATTGTTTATATGTAATTTTTTTTTTTTTTTGTAATCGGACGCTAAGACATACGAACGTCACGGTAAAAGCTTCGAGAATCGACAAACGTAAATTACGCTACGCAATAATTTCGACCAAGAGGACAAGCGGTTCGCCAAAGCAATGATTGGAGAAACCTCGCTCGAAACGTTCGCCACTAGAGCGTGTCTCTTCTCTTCCGGCGGTTGTGACACTGACGAAGGTTCGAAATCGGTTATTGGCCATTGCGAGAGATCCAAGTGAACCCAAGAAGGTCCGTGGAACCAAAGCGGGTGGTCCATTATTTGCATCGGGGTGAGTCCCCGGGATAGACAATCGGCAGGGTTTTCCGTACCGGACACGTGATAAAAGTTCCGCGTTTCTAACTCGTCTTGGATCTTGGCCACTCGGTTCGCGACAAACGTATCCCAACGGTGGGGTGAAGAATGAACCCAGCATAAGGCGACGGTGGATCGGAAAAGGCAAATATCCTTTCTACGTGAACTCTATCCCTACATGCGCTGATAACTGCGGTAATAAGCTTGGTGAGTACTAATATTGCGCAAAGCTCTAAGCGCGCCAGAGAGACAACCTTACGGGGGGAGACTCTCGACTTAGAACTAATGAGGCTAATCGAATTTCTACCATTATTCTGAACGTGGAAATATACAACGCCCCCGTAAGCCTTCTCGCTGGCGTCTGCAAACCCAACGACCGTTATGACGCTATTTCTATCGACGTTTATATGACGCGGTATTTTAATTTCTCTTAGTAAAGGAAGTTCCTCTCTAAAGCGCTGCCACAATCGAACAATGCTGTCAGGCGGCGAGTCATCCCAATCGCATTCAAATAACCAAAGTTGTTTAATCAAAAGCTTAGCGTATAATACCACCGGAGCTACGAAACCCATGACGTCCCATAATCTAGCAACGCATGACAGTATTGTGCGCTTTGTGCATTTCTCTACGGGCGGATTTACCTTAAGGCTAAACACGTCGGACTCTGGCGACCAACACAGACCGAGCACCTTGTGTGTATCGGAATCGTCGAATTCCTTTATCGCCGAAAGACGGTGTGATAGTGGGATTGTATCTAAAACCGGACGCGAATTACTAGTCCACTTCACAAGATCGAATTGACCCGATTTCATGAGTTTTATAACCTCGGCGGTGGTTAGGGTGGCCTCCTCCACGCTATCAACGGAGAACACAAAATCATCCATATATAAACCGCTCTCAATTGCCCTCTTAGCTTTAGGATAAGAGGGACCTTCATCGTGGGCGAGCTGTTTCACCGTGCGTAACGCATGAAATGGGCTCGACTTTAAACCAAAACAAACGCGGTTAAATTCAAACACCATTAGAGATTCCTTTGGGTTGAAACGATATAAAATGCGTTGGAATCTACGGTCGCATTCACGGACCCCTATGCAAAGAAACATTTGGCGAATATCGGCGGATAGTGCTATACTAAACAAACGAAAATTGGCTATTATATTAAATAAACTGCTCTGTAAATTTTGCCCACTATAGAGGATATCGTTAAGCGACAGGTGAGTGCTAGTTTTAGCACTAGCGTCGAGCACTACACGTAACTTAGATGTAAGTTTGTCCTCCCTAATGACCCCGTGGTGTGGTATGAAATACGACGGTGTGTCTTCGTAGTTATCTAATTTCGAAGCCACGAGTGATATGTAACCTTCTCTTATATATTCGTTAATGACGCCGTCATAAGCTTCCTTTAACTGGGGTGAAGCGAGCATCCTACGCTCCAAGCTGTAGAAACGTTTTTCCGCCATTTGACGCGAATCGCCGAGAGATAAAACATCTCCTTTAAAGGGCAGCGCTACACTATATCTACCGTCGCGATCACGAACGGTCGTGCGGACGTAAATTTCCTCGCATAACCTGTCATCTGAGCTAGCTATGGGTGGGACGTTCACCTCCTCCATCT